TTCTTGGTTTTTTTTTTTTTTTTTTTTTAATGCTTAGCATGCAGAGCTCCGAGTTTTGACTTGGAGCACTTTGCTCTGGCTGGAGTGTTTCTGTCCCTCCGCGATGACCCTCCTGGCATTGCGTGAGGCAAGCAAATTACACATTAGTGGCTGTGTGGAAGAGGCACTGAGCATTAATGCATGATAAGCACGAAGTTTAATACTAATGTTGGCTCCAAACTGTGAGAGTAGCTGAAGCTATGTTAATAAATTACTATTTTCTTGTAAGTTTTTGCTGTTGAATTGAAGCACAAGGGCCTTGCGGGCAGAACCAGCTATGAAGACGTTTTTATTTTTCTTTTTTTTAAGCCATTGCACTGTGAAAGTCGGCACTCACAGGCCCATGCCGAGGGCTGTTTCTTTTTGCTCTGTTCCTATGGAGAGAGCGATGCTGGAGCTAAACTGGAAACGTTCATAGATCCCTTTGGCTTCCAACAAGCACCAGATTCCGTCTTTCATCTCAGTCGTGCTGTTCCACAAGCGGCTGAAAGGAATTGGCCGGAGCTGGTTTGAAGGGTAGCTCGGGCACGGCACTAAATCCCGAACAAAGCAGCTGCCTTTCCTTGCCAGCGTGCAGGAAACATTTGTGGAGCGGCAAAACCACCCGCTCCGGTCCTTTTGCGCTGCAGCGAAAGGCCAGCCCGCGTGGGAGGCAGCAGCGTTTGCTAGCCTGGTAGCTGTTGATGAGGCTTTTAATTAACCCCTCCGCTGTGCGTTAACCGAGTGCTGCGGGCTGCGGCGTGCCGGGAAGCCCTCCGCTGTATTCGGCAGAGGAGGCGACCACGGGGAACTTGGGTTTGGGAAGGTGTTTCTTCACCGTGGGCTTTTTCCTCCCTTTATTCTTTTCACTGTGGAAAAGGATACAAATGGATTATTTTGTCTGATATATTAAAAAAAAAAAAGAGAGGGGAAAAAGGTATTGATTTATTACTCACTCGTGGAAACCTGGCAGCCTCCCCTCGCTGAGGCTCAAACTGTGTTTGCAGCGTAAGGTTCTTCAGATGTTTTCCAGCTCCCAGTCTGGCTCCGTTCCCTGAGGCTTGGTAAACCGTTAGCCAAATTTAAGACTAAATTGCCTAGGGAATGGTGAAATGTAGGAGAAATCGAGGAACAAAGCTATTGTCTTTAATTGCACAGCTCCCACCGTGAGCTGAAAATATGTATTCTTGCAGAAAATATGTATTTTGGTCACTAAAACACAAAGGAAGGAAGAAAAGCTGGCTGCAGATCTATCACCTTTGCTGAATTTGATCTGGGAGAAGGCTCCTTCTTGGAGCGTGACATGTGTGACACCCAAATTCAGGCTGTGCTCACCCAAGGGGAAGAGAGCGCTCCTCAAATCATGTCAGGGAACCTCTACCCACGGCGTTTACGCTGTAGCTGCTCCAGGTGTCTGTGCAGGAGCTGTGCGCGGGGCCAAGGATGGAGCCTGTGAGAGTCGGGCAGAGGCACATCTCCATCTCGGCCACGGCTCCTCGTTGCAGGGTCCGTGTAAACGCAGCTGAGGTGAGCGCTGTGCGCTGTCTGGCTGCTTTTCATCTCTAAAATACAGAAGCTGGGTGTCCTTGGCCGCAGAAAAGACTCCTTCTCCCCAGCACAGCACCGCAATGCCTCGTCTCGGCCCTTTCAGCTTGCTCCAACGTGCGTTGCCGGCTCACCTCTCTGGCCTTGGTTAACCGGTCTCTGATGTGCAAGGATGCGGTTTTAACCCTCATCTCTGGTTCTCACCAGGGCAAATTGCTCCGAGTACTTTCCAATCTTTGTCTCCCTCCTCTGGGTTGCTGGAATCTTCTTCCATCAAGGTAAGCGGGATGAAGGGGGGGAAACCCCATTCGAACCACATGCACAAACCAAGAAAACCCCAATTTAACTCCCATTGCGACTCAGGCACATCCTCTCTGTGCCTGCGAGGCTGTTACTCGGGGAAAGCAAAGCTCCTCTTCGGCTGGATGGACCGAGGAGCACCTCAGCTCCAGTGTGCCTGAAGCTGCTGGTCGCGGCCGAGCTGACCTCCTGCCCAGAGGAGAGGTCTGGTGGCACTGGCAGCTGGTGGTCCTTCACCAGAGCCTGCTTGGAAGGAGAAACCATCACCCAAACCTTCAGGCACCCACCGTCCATCCCGCACCAAACAGGTTTAGGGGATTTGGCTGCTGCTGCGGGGAAGGACCACAGCAGGGAGTGTTGCAAACCCAAGTCCCAGGGCCACATCAGGGGGACAGAGAGGGTCATCCCTCACAAACAGGGAAAGAAGAAAAGCCATTTAAATTCCCACAGCATTTTAAAGCCGAGTCTCTGTTTGGTCCTCGTGGCCGTGTCCCCATCTGCAGAGGGAAGCGGCAACAGGGGTGACTGAGCCGGGCTGCAGCTCTGGCAGCATCCGGGGACCCCCTGGCTGCATCAGGACTCAGCTCCGCTCTCCCCGGCAGGTGTGGCCGCGGCGTGTGGGCTGCTCTACCTCTACACCCGCTTCAAGTATTTCCAGGGCTACGCCGTGGCTGCGCAGGGACGGTCAGTGCGGGCACCCCAACCCAACGTGGGGAGGGCTGGGTGCAGGGTATCACAGAATCACAGAATGGTCGGGGTTGGAAGGGACCTCTGTGGGTCTTCTAGTCCA